AAGATAGATGGGAGAGATCAAGGCTGCGAACGCCATGCAGCTACCTCGATACTCCCGGATACTGCTGCTCAGCTAAACAAATCCTCACTCACCCTGTGGTGTACCTGGATCTGCACACAAGGTGCAGGGAGTATTGTGAGTACTTCCAACCTAGAAAGTAATAAATATAAATAAAGTCTGAGGATAAGAAATCCTAAATAACACAAGGCAAAGCTATAAATACAATAACCATCTAATACAATTATAATAAAGTCACACCATAATAAGAATAAATGACAATTAAATATGCAATGCAACACATAATCCGGTACTCTCCAGTACCCCGCTGCGGCGTGCAGCCTGTTCCATTTATTTAACGTCGACGACGCTCACTGGGGGTGTGCAGACTCCGGGAGGGGCCCCTTACGGCCCAAGCGCAATAATAAGCCATATCATAGCATCAAAACAGGCCCTAGGCCTCATATCAATATCAATATCATACCACTGCGGCGTGCAGTCCGATCCCATGCTCAGTCGAAATTCACATAAGCCTTTCGGCACAATAATATAAAAATATTCAGCCCAAACTTCATTTAAAAATATTACTTTAGTTTCTACTTTTAGAAAAATGGCTGAGTTTACAAAAATAGTGTTAAATACCAGGACTGAGTTTAATATCTAGAAATATGGTAAGAAACCAGTAAAAGTAATCCCTGAAGGATTCAAGTAGTTGGCACGAAGCCCAATTATGACAATTAATCCATTTTTATAAGGATATCACAAAACTACAATCAATTAGGTAGTAATTTTATTAAGCGGGACGGACCAAGTCACAATCCCCGACGGTGCTCTACCCACGCCCGTTATCCGGCGTGCAAGTCACCTCACATAGCACTACATTGTGCAAATTCGGGGTTTCAAACCCTCAACACAACATTTACATTTATTACTAACCTCAAGCTGGCCAAAGTCCTAGCTTGCTATGCCCTTGCCTTTTGAATTAACCTCCTCGTGCGTCGAATCTGACCAAAACCACAACGAATACGTCACAATAGGCTAAGGGAACATAACCCAATCGAAAAGACTCGAAAAATATCGAAAATCACGAAATTTGCAAAACCCGAGCCCCGGGCCCACTTCTCGAAAAATCAGAAAATTAACATCACCGGATTCCTCATCTCGCCACGAGTCTATACATACCAAAATCTCTCAAATCGGACCACAAATGGCCCCTCAAATCTCAAATTTAGAATTTCAAACTCAAGCCCTAATTTCTTACAATTTGGCTATATTCTCATGAATTTCAAGGATGATTCTACAATAAAATCATGTTTTTAACTCATAAAACTTACCTTCAATCGATCCCAGTTGAAACTCTCTTCAATCCCCGTCCAAAAACTCTCAACAATGCCCAAAAATGGTGAAAAATGGGTTGGGTTCGCGGATGAAATATTTTAAAACATTCTGCCCAGGTCTGACCCCTCCTTCTTCGCGAACGCGAGGGCTATCCCGCGTTCGCGTTGCTCAAATTTTCCATCTGCCAAAAATGCCCTTCGCGAACGCGGCCCACACCACGCGAACGCGAAGCTTTATTCCTCATACATACGCGAACGCGACACACATGATGCGGACGCGAAGACCAAAAGCCCTGAACCTCAATTCCTTATACGCGTTCGCGGCTACTGCCTCGCGAACGCGATGCACACTCAGCTACCCCTCCGCGAACGCGAACCCGCACATCGCGAACGCGAAAAGTAATTCACCTGCCTTCCAATTCCCTTCTTCGCGAACGCGACACACCTACGCGATCGCGAAGGTATAAAACCTGCAACACCTGATCTGAAATTTCTGCAATATTTTCCAAGTTCCAAACTTCCTGTTAGCCATCCGGAATCACCCCGAGGCCCCCGGAACCTCAACCAAAAGCACCAACACACCCTGAATCATCATCCAAGCTTGTTCCAATCATCAAAACACCTCAAACAACACCAAAACCACCAAATTACATCAGATTCAAGCCTAAGTTCTTCCAAAACTTCCGAAACACGCATTCGATCAAAAACCCAACCAAATCACCTCCGAATAACCTGAAATTTTGCACACACATCCCATATCACCTAGCGAAGCCAGAGCAACTCTCGAAATTCTATTCCGACTCTCGGATCAAAATCTCACCTATCAACCGAAATTCGCCAAAATACTAACTTCGCCAATTCAAGCCTAATTCTACACCGGACCTCCAAAATCACTTCCGATCACACTCCTAAGTCACAAATCATCCCCCGAAGCTAACCGAATCGTCGGAATCCACATCCGAGCCCTCTAACTCATAGGTCAACATCCGGTTGACTTTTCCAAAATAAGCTTCCTTAAAGAGACTAAGTGTCTCATTTCCTTCCAAAAATCAACCCAATTCAACTCGTTCACACAAGACACTGATAATGAAGCATAACGAAGCAAGAAATGGGGTAAACGGAGCGGTTCTCATGAGACGACGGGTCGGGTCGTCACATTTTTTGTATGAAGTTTTTTCAAAAAATCATAATAAAATACATAGTGCAGGAGAAAAACTTCAGCTCCATTTGCTGAAGTTTTTAAAGATTAACTAAAAAACTTCAGCACCTATGCTGAAGTTTTTGTGCAATATTAAATTTTAATTTATGTTTTATTTTTTACCCAATGTAGGAGGAAAACTTCAGCTCGTTTTGCTAAAGTTTTTAAAGATAACTAAAACACTTCAGCACCTATGCTGAAGTTTATGTGCAATATTCAATTTTAATTTATGTTTTATTTTTTACCCAGTGTAGGAGGAAAACTTCAGCTCGTTTCGCTGAAGTTTTTTGTGCAATATGTAATTTTAATTTATGTTTTATTTTTTTTTACCCAGTGTAGGAGGAATACTTCAGCTCATTTTGCTGATGTTTTTAATGATTAACTAAAAAACTTCAGCACCTATGCTGAAGTTTTTTGTGCAATATGTAATTTTAATTTATGTTTTATTTTTATTTTTTCCCAGTGCAGGAGGAAAACTTCAGCTCGTTTTGCTGAAGTTTTGAAAGATTAACTAAATAACTTCAGCACCTATGCTGAAGTTTTTGTGCAATATTAAATTTTAATTTATGTTTTATTTTTTACCTAGTGTAGGAGGAAAACTTCAGCTCGTTTTGCTGTAGTTTTTAAAGATTAACTAAAAAACTTCAGCACCTATGCTGAAGTTTTTTGTGCAATATGTAATTTTAATTTATGTTTTATTTTTATTTTACCCAGTGTAGGAGGAAAACTTCAGCTCGTTTTGCTGATGTTTTTAAAGATTAACTAAATAACTTCAGCACCTATGCTGAAGTTTTTGCGCAATATTAAATTTTAATTTATGTTTTTTTTTTACCCAGTGTAGGAGGAAAACTTCAGCTCGTTTTGCTGAAGTTTTTAAAGATTAACTAAATAACTTCAGCACTTATGCTGAAGTTTTTGTGCAATATTAAATTTTAATTTATGTTTTATTTTTTACCCAGTGTAGGAGAAAAACTTCAGCTCGTTTTGCTTAAGTTTTTAAGGTGCTGAAGTTTTGCTAAAGGTGTAAATACTTTAAAAGTTCAGCTAGTTTTGCTGATTTTTTTAAATATGAACTAAATAACTTCAGCTTGTTTAGCAAATAAACAAGAGATATACTTCAGCATATGTAAAAACTCAGCCTGTTTAGCAAATAAACCAAAATTCAGCATATTATGTAGTGGAAAACTTCAGCATATTTAAATTTGTCGGATTAGAATGTTAGAATTCAAGGTCAAACAGATTTAGAATGCAAATTCAGCATATCAGTGAAGTTCGTCAAACAACTTCAATAAATATCATGAAATTAACCAGTTTTAAAAACTATTTTGAATCCTGAAGATGAATTTGAATACTTACAATGTATTTTGTAATTTTGAATTTGGAATTTGAATCTGGTTCAAATCTGGTTTTCGAGAGGCGATCTGAGGAGAGACGGAGTGATGGAGGAGATACGGACGCGATCTGGAATTTGAATCTTGTATGCTTGATGCATCTTTTATATGTTTTGGAAGGGATATAATGGTCATATTATTACAGAATTTTTGTTAGTTGGTTACGAAATCAATAGTTTTTAAAAATAGGGTATAGGTTAAAAGGTGGCATAAATATAGGGTATAGCTGCAAATCGCCTGTTATTTAGCTGGTTTTGGGATATGGGATTTTGCCAAAATGTAGGCAATATCTATGGCCAAACGGGTCCTAAGCTTTAATTAATGTGTATTATTTTCCTATATATTGTTTAGTTATCAAATAAGACGGTTTTTTCTTTTGTTATGGTCATAGATAACATATCAAATAAAAAAAAGTTATTTTGAAGATATTTTAGCAAAGTTACTCGTAGATCAATTTAGGCTAAAAATCAGCCCAACTTTAGATGGGTTGGGTCAAGATGTGTTGAGTTCAACAAATAGGCGAGTCAATGACTAGCCGGATTGGGCTCAAATTGTTACCACCCTTCAAAGGTATTACACTGCAAGTTAGGGTTACAAAGTATGTATCAAGGCTTTTTTGAAAAGGTTAATACGTACGTACCACATTCCTCGCTGTAAATAGCCCTTCCGTTTCTTTCCTTAAACTAAAAGTCCAAAACACTTTCAATATCTCTTTTATGCCTGCACTCTAGTCCATATTTTTAAGGTTTTCAATTTCTACTTGTGTTGGCATTATCAATCGAAGATGAAGAAGAAGACGATTAACGGCAACAAAGAAATCCCTTCTGATATTGTGTTCCAAGTGCTCGCTCGATTGCCCATTAAGGGCTTGGACAGATTCAAGTGCGTATCGAAATCTTGGTCATCAATGATCAGTCACCCTGAATTCATCAAAGCTCATAGACCTTGCACCGGTATATTCATCAATCTTTTCCCCATCAGCATCCACTTAAATTCATCGCCGAAAGGCCTCTTTTACGCGTCCATACATGGGAATGATGTGAGTTCATATTTTATGTATTTAAGTCATATACTTCAATTTGTAATAGTAGGTTAGTTATCATTCTTATCAGTTAATTAATGCTTACAATAAAAAGTTTGTAAATATTCTGTTACTACATTGAACTTCAACTCAATTTGTACGCACACTAGGGATCTGCCATTACTTATACGTTTGGGCCATTCTATTTTGCAGGAACTTGCTAGACGGTTAAGTTTGCCTTATTTTGGTTATGAGGATATTACTCCAATTATAAACGGGCTTGCTTGCCTTTACACGGCTCATCAAGTTTCAGTTTTTAATGTAACTACTCGTGAACTTATGGCGCTTCCGGCTGATGCACATTATGTTTCATATGCTCTCGGGTTTGATCCTGTGGATAATGTGTACAAAGTGCTTAAATTCAGTACCCTTGCCATCAATCAACTAGTTCACAAGATCCTCACTCTTAAAACAAGTTCAAAATCGACATGGAGATGGAGAGAAATCTTTCAGAAAGATTTGTCTTGGTTTCACCCATTTCCCAAAGTTCAAAGTTACCCTGTGAATGGTATAATTTATTTCAAAATCCACTCTCCAAGCAAAGAGTATTTTCTCGCCTTTGATGTCCACCAAGAGCATTTCACAATTCTCAACCGACCAAGGGAAGAGCATTGCCGTTTGACAGTATTCGGTCAATTTGAAGGGCGCCTAGCCCTAGCACATAAGACACAATTTGAGACGGTTTTGAATGTTTGGGCGTTAGAAGATCACCAAACACTACTAGAATTCCGGAAAAAAGCGACCAAACTTTAGCGACCAAAGTTGGTCTGTCGCGAAAAGCTACCAACTTTGGTCGCTAAACTAACGAAAATAATAAAATAAATAGTTGAAACAAATTAGCGACCAAGGTTGGTCGCTACTTGGTCACTAAATTAGTCAAAAAGTTGACTGGACTGGTCAGACTTGCTTGGTCAAAGGTTTACTGAGATTAGCGACCAATGTTGGTCGCTAAAGTGGGACCCACCTACAAAATTTTAATAATTATATTATTATTTTAAAAAAATTATAAAATTTAAATATATATAATTAAAATTTGCGACCAACGTTGGTCGCTAATTAAAGGGTAGGTAGATAGCGACCAACTTTGGTCGCTAAAGTGGGACTCAGTTATAAAGTTTTAATAATTATATGTCACGACCCAAACCCCGCTCCGGTCGTGATGGCGCCTCTCGTGAAGACAAGGCCAGCCAGACCATTTCAGAACACCACTTTTAAGCAGTTAAACAGTTCAATAACAGTTCAAATATGATTTGATGATATTAATTAGCTGAAGTACAACCCAACGCGGCCCTAATTGGGGTGTCACAAGTCACGAGCATCTATTAGAGTGTGTATACAGTTCTACAAGGCCTAAAAATAAATACACGAAATAGGAATAATGAACAAAAGGTAGAGAAGCGGCGCTGCGAACGCTGGCAGTCACCTCGCTAAACTAATATAGCTCTACCTTCAATCAGCCAAAACCCGCTACCGGGTGAATAAATACCTGCATCTGCACACGAGGTGAAGGGAGTAACGTGAGTACTCCAACTCAGTGAGTAATAAAGGTAAATAACAACTGAGCAGTAAGAAATTACGTAAAGCAACCAACATACTGTATAGAAGCAGGGTACAATCCTTTGAGAAATCAGTGAACTGTGAAAATCTTTAGAAAAACCTCTTGGCTCAGTTTAAACCTCTTTTGAAAATAGTCTTTTCAACAGTTGCGAAATAATTTCAAAGCAGTTAGTGCCGATATGCACAGAAATCCGCTCCTCGGGCACAAATACCACAGTATAACAAGTAAAAGCCGCCCCTCGGGCAATATCTCAAAAACAGTACCAGCCCCTCGGGCTCACTCTCAGAACACTCTCAGCCCCTCGGGCTCTCTCTCTCAGATCACTCTCAGAACAGTATCATATAGTAACCGCTGCAGCATGCAGCCCGATCCACATCTCGTTGCGGCGTGCAGCACGATCCATTTATCGTCGACGGCGCTCACTGGGGGTGTGCAGACTCCAGGAGGGGCCCCTTACGGCCCAAACGCAATATCAAGTCACCTCGTGGCATATAAAGTAAGGCCTGAAAGCCTTCTCACATCACTCATAAGGCCTGAAAGCCTCCTCACATCACTCACAAGGCCTGAAAGCCTCCTCATGTCACTCACAAGGCCTGAAAGCCTCCTCACATCACTCACAAGGCCTGAAAGCCTCCTCACGTCACTCAAGCCACCTCGTGGCATATAAAGTATCTCAGGCCCTCGGCCTCATATCACTCAGCGTATCCTCACATATGGCCCTCACTCAGTCCGAAAATCATCACAAGCCCCTCGAGCATTTGTAAAACAGTAGTTCTCAGCCCAAAATATCATTTAGAAATATCATTTAAGTTTCAAATCTGAGTAAAAATTGGCTGAGTTTGTAAAACAGGAGATATCAACAGGACTGAGTTCAAATAACACGTCAAAACAGTGTGGAAATCCCCGAAGGGTTCAAATAATTGGCACGAAGCCCAAATATGGCAATCAATCCAAATCATGATAATAACAAATAAGTTTCAGTCAAAATACGCGGTAAAATCATCAATCGGGATATCCGGCGTGCAAGTCACCTCAATATAGCACTACAGTGTGCAATCCGGGGTTTCAAACCCTCAGGATATCATTTACAATCATTACTCACCTCAAGCCGGCCAAAATCCTAGCTCGCTATGCCCTTGCCTCTCCAATCGGCCTCCTCGCGCGTCGAATCTGATCAAAACCACAACGAATACATCACAATAGGCTAAGGGAACATAACCCAATCGAAAAGAATCGAAAAATATCGAAAATCACGAAATTTGCAAAACCCGAGCCCCGGGCCCACTTCTCGAATTCCAAAAAGTTTTACATCAACGGATTCCTTATCTCTCCACGAGTCTATACATATCAAGAACTCCCAAATCCGAGCTCAAATGACCCATCAAAACCCAATTTGAAATACCAAAACTCAAGCCCTAGTTCTTCCCCCTTTTTGATAAATTTTCATGAATTTCTAGGTTGATTCTACCATTAAATCATGTATTTAGGTCATAGAACTCACCTCCAATCAATCCCAGTCGAAATTCCCTTCAATTCTCGTCCAAAAGCTCTCAAGGATGTTCAAAAATGGTGGAAAATACCTTAGCTCGCGGAACAAAATGAAACTTTAAAACCCTTCTGCCCAGACATTTTTCACATCTGCGATCCAATTACCGCATCTGCGGTTTCCGCTTTTGCGGAATTCTTCCGCTTCTGCGATGCTTCACTATTTGCCAAGAACCGCTTCTGCGGTCACAATCCGCACCTGCGGACTCCGCTTCTGCGGTCAACCATCCGCTCCTGCGAAAATTATCTTAAATGCACGGACCGCTTCTGCGGACTCCGCACCTGCGGAAAATCATCCGCTTCTGCGAAAATCCCCCAATAGCCAATATCCGCACCTGCGATCCCCTTTTTGCATCTGCGGCACCTTTTCCGCAGATGCGATAATACTAGAACCAGCAAACTTCTGAAATGCTACAAGTCCAAAATTCATCCCGATGGCCATCCCAAATCACCCCGAGGCCCCCGGGACCTCAACCAAAAGTGCCAATCCATCCTAAAACATCGTTCAAACTTGATCCCATCATCAAAACACCTCCACCAACACCAAAACCATCAAATTACATCGGATTCAAGCCTAAGTTCTTCTAAAACTTCCGAAACACACATTTGATCAAAAACCCGACCAAAACACCTCCGAATGACCTGAAATTTTGCACACACATCCCAAATCACCTAATGAAGCTACTACAACTCTCGGAATTCCATTCCGACCCTCGGATCAAAATCTCACCTATCAACCGGAATTCGCCAAAATACTAACTTCGCCAATTCAAGCCTAATTGTACACCGGACCTCCAAAATCACTTCCGATCACGCTCCTAAGTCACAAATCATCCCCTGAAGCTAACCGAATCATCGGAATTCACATCCGAGCGCTCTAACACATAAGTCAATATCCGGTTGACTTTTCCAAACTAAGCCTTCCTTAAAGAGACTAAGTATCTCATTTCCTTGAAAAATCAATCCAAGCCAACTCGATCACACAAGACACTGATCATGAAGCATAAAGAAGCAGAAAATGGGGGAAACGGAGCGGTAACTCATGAGACGACGGGTCGGGTCGTCACATTATATTATTAATTTAAATGTTATATAAAATATAAATAAATTCATGTATAATTAGCGACTAAAGTTGGTCTCTATTCAGGTCAACAATGGTCAAAATTAAAAATCACTTTTGTATTTACTATCTAAATAATATAAATGTAAGCCGTTAATACTTTTGTAATACAAGGGATGAATAGTACTACGAAGCGTGTGAATATATATATATATATATATA